GTGAGCGAATACTTGGAGGCTTACCAGAGTCCCGGGTTATCCGGAGCTATAGGTAAAAAGATAAACAGAAAGCATACTTCCTGTGAGGTTGTAATCAGTAATCCTTGAAAAGTGTTGAGCACTATGCTGCAATACACGACAGTTTTCAGATCCCTCGGTCCCTTGGTTTTTGTGTTCACCGGCTCAGGTAATGTATCTCAAGGGGCTCAGGAGCTTTTCCAGCACCTTCCTCATGAATTTGTTGATGTTGCGACGCTACCAAAAGTTGCTCAAAAAGGACGTGAGTGTTTCTGTTTTAATAGTTTGTTTCTTAAATGGTAATGATAAATAGTTCTGAATGAATTTTTTTCCAGAGCTGAATAAGGTTTACGGGTGCGTTGTCACTCGCGCTGACCACATGGTGTCCAAGAATGGTACGATTCAGTGACTTCAAAACCTATTTTCTTTTATTAACCTATTTTGATTTCAGGAACGCCATTCGATAAGGCCGAATTCGAGGAACATCCAGAACGCTACATTTCCAAGTTTGCAACTGAGGTACGCTAGATCATTAACTACGGTAGTGCCGTAATAAACTTCTCCGAAAGCTTTGTGAAAAAAAAATAAGGACACAAGAGGCCGATACTCTACAACGTGGACGAAAATTAAGGTGACAAGAGGGTACCGCCGTGAACTTCAAACGCCAACAGTTTTTTTTTATCTTTACACTATGTATTTATTTTGGTAATTCAGTGTTCAGTCTTAGAGTTCGTCACATGACTGATCGATTTGAAAATGGACATTCCTTCAAGTCCCCAAGAATGATCAATTATTTGCTCCTACGAGCTGTTCGATTGTGCTACATTGCAACATGATTTAGAGGATCCATGAAATTTTTGTCGACTACCATTACTGAATTCGATAAGCTTTTCACCAGCATCAACAGGCCTGTGCGTGAGAGAATGCTCCTGTGGGTCCACAATTTCTCGATGATACGCGAGCTAGCGCTCAGATCCAGCTCACATTCGGTCATTGACTCGCTCAGATTTTCATCGAGTGCAGTTTCCGTCATGCATTAGCACGTTCTCTAATGGGAAGGTGCACAAGGTGGAAATGTCGAACTTCTACCAATGCTACTAGGAAGCCAGCGGTGGTTTCACAGAAATCAGTAGAAGAAGACGTCTCCCACTTCTGCTGCTGAAGATACTTAACTGGGCACTGAGAATTATCTTGAACTCCTCCGGACTCAGTTGATGCCCAAGTCCAAGAACACTTCCAACAGGAAGCACTGGGCATCAGGGTAAGATTGAGTGTACACCCACAGCGCAAAGTTGTTTAGATTTGCTGCCGAAAGATTGTACCATCGTGTCGAGAATTGGGGAATTGGCGACATAGTTCTCCATAAAATATTCCCCATTGAGTGTGTCGATGACAAGCCACTTTTTAACGTAACTGGAACATAGCTCAGTGAGCAGTTGCTCCATGAAGCCTTAGGTCAACTCGACAACATCTACTTACACAACGAGGATGACGAGTTATTATTAGGTTGTCCCATAATTAGTGAATCACTTTACATTTATTGTTATTAAAAATCCAAGAAAAATGGTGAAGGCGTGAAACATGTTTTGCGAAGTAGCATCCACATTATCCTACCTGAGCAATTACTCAGCCCATTTACATGCTGCCTTCCGTGGCTGATATTTCAATTTTTCTGGAACCTATTTTTGAGCTCCCTTCTTAATCACTTCTGATTAGGATCTTTCAAACGCCCAACAACATAGAGAATCAACCAGCAGATAGGCTCCCTCAATCCACGGTCTGCTTGTAGTTCACTCTATCGAGAGGTTGGCTTTTTTAGTTGAAGATGACCCACACTCCAACTACCCCTCAACTGGCAATCTCACTGCTGTACCCAGCGCCACTGAGGGTGGATCTGGACAAACTAGTCGCCATTTGCTAGAGCATGTCCGACTTGTTAAAATGATGGAATGTAGACATCTACGTAGAGTTGTAAAGATTTTAAAATATTTAGTTTGTATCTTGTATGCTCTGAGCCCGAAACAGCTCCACACACGATCTGACATCATCATGTTCCTTCTGATCTCCCTTAGTTCCTTACAGTGATCATCCAGCATATTCACCAGGGTTCTGGACTGGGTGAAGTGTACTAGCAAATCTCCAAGGAGCAGTAGCCTAGCATGAACGATTCGGGAGTTCTGACAGCAAAAGCCAAACCTCCTTCTAGTCCGACCCTTCAGAGATATTGGTGGAGCACGAGAGTGACCATGCGCTGGGAACCGCCGCCCAGTAATACTAGGGTCACTGAAGAAGATCAACATCTACAGCGTAATGGCGACGCGTTCAATTTGAAAGTAAAGCAAGACAAAGTCTGCTTTTTTCCTGAGGTCGTTCGACCCCACCTTGCGGAGAATATTCATAAAAAATTGGAGACTCTCAGGCTAGCAGTTCTTTCACTTCCTGTGTGGCCTATCCTCGTGCCAACAAAAGGCAACTCAGTCTGACCTCTAGCGCTCTTCCCCAGGAAGAAATTTTACGCTAAGTGACATGACCTCAAACTCGACTTCCGATCTTTCTTCGATCAATAGCTCCTGGAATTCTAGAGATAAGACAGCGACTAAATTTCCTTGTATAGGCAATACATTGTAGATGACAGAGGTGTATGTTTGGATGAGCAAAGACTCCACATAAAAAAAAAAAATTTGAATTCAAAAATACCCAAAGTGATTCACTAATTATGGGACAACCTAATAATAGAATGGCTTCGTTTATGCACCAACGCTGGAAGCGATCACTCCAATCAGAAATATCGTTTTCTGATTGAAAGCTTCCCACCAACGTTGGTTTTGTTAAGTTGATCTTTCAAGCCACATTTGTTCTTTGTGATCAACTTACCCGGTTACCTTTTTTTTGCCTACCTTGTATATTTTGAAAGGAATATATGAAAATTGCTTGGAATAAAGTGCGGGAAAACCTTTTTCTCCAACATCGTCTGCCCTATTGTAAGATGTGGGGGCACTATTGACAGACGCGCTTCTAGAATCCTCAAGAACAGATTTTTAGCCTAATCGAATTTTTGACCCTAGCCTCAAAAATTGGGTTAGCCTTGAATAGTAAAACAGAGAACTCGACCTCAAGAAAATCAAAAGGAATGAATTACAGGGGGCAATGATTAAAAACCATTTTCCAAAGAATCTCCACAAAAATGCAGACAAATTGCGGCGGCAGTTCCGTTGTTTAGCCAACGAGAATGTCACTATGCAGACCAACCTTTGGACCATTCTATCAAATTGTCTGCTCTGTTTGATCAGTTGCCACTCCAGATCGTATTAGAACGCGTGGGAAAAACCCCGTTCAGCGACTAGTTCCGCAAATTTGTAAGACAAATTCCAGATCAGCGTCCAAAACAGTACATATCACTAAAGGCATCTTTTAACTGCAGATCCCCCTTTCTCATTAGTAGCACAATTGCCAAGTGCATCAAAAAGCACACGCTACACAACTTTTTCAAGGACTGCGACGTGTGTTTTACTGAGTCTGCGATCGCGACACGTCTGTTGCGGGGAACAGTGTGCCTAGCGCTCACATTTTTTACTCGTGTCAATTTGAACCCTCGATCAGCATCATTGGAGAGATCCCTTCTGTTGATCCAGTGGCTGGGTCCGCAACGATAAAGCCCGTGCCAACTCGCCCCTCGAATCGCTCCATTAACCAGGAAAGGCTCACAGCTTCCCATGGAAATTGGAATGAATTCAGGACGAATCAGTAGAGTAGCGAATGCTGATTATATTAGGTTGAGCAATAATTATCCTCCGTTTTCATTTCACTCATAAGTTTATTAACAAAACCAAACAAAACAATAAATGCGTAATCAACAAACGCTCTCGAACAGTCCTCTCTGCAACCGTGCCTTCATCCCAGGCTTCATTGATTCTACGAGCAGATGCAGAAGCATTCGAGCTCAACGTGCACTCGTGTAGCAGGAGCAAACTTTTTGCTAGTGTGTAAGGGGTGAAAATGTAGTTCGAGGGGCCACTCATATCATATATATCTAATCGAACTGACAATATCTAATCGAAGTGGAGCTGCGGAAGGGCGGTCATATCTAATCACCATCCAGAGCACAGTCTCTGAATGTATGATTAGATAGGGATACCAACTCGAGATTCCATACAAAATCGGATACCTGAAAGGTTTCTTCGAGGGCTCGCATGGCAGTCGCAAGAAGGGAAAGTGAAGAGCCAGCAAGGTAGCAGCCATTTTAGCCATAGAATAATATGACAAGGGTAAACGTACTAGTCGTAGGCTCTCAGTGAAAGATATGATAAGATATAAGTGCCTTCCCGCAGCTCTACTTTGATTAGATATGAGTGTCTTTCCGCAACTCCACCTCGATTAGATAGGGTGCACCCCCCCCCCCGACCCCCCGCCCCCCGAACTCCGTTTTCACTGTGTGTAAGCTCCATAGTGAAGTAAATACACAAATGTTGTACATCAAAATGTACAAGAGATTGAGCGCTTTCAGACTACATCATAACCTTTGAAAATAATCAGCAAAAAATCAAAGAACCATGAGCCTGAAAAAAACGGCGGATAATTATTGCTCAACCTAATAAATTTGGAGATAAAAGCTGCCAAAAGAGCAATCCAAGCAGTGGGCAGTCAAAGTTGACAGGAAGGGCGGCTTCGGTATATAAGGCAGGCTAATCTAACCACCGGTATTTTTGTTTTTCCTGAAACTTGGCCTACAGGGTAAATGGGATAGCCTTCTCACGATTATGGCATTCATCTTCGGGCGACATGGGCGATATTCCCCCCTCCCCCTCTGGTGCACAACTCACTTTTTTTGCTGAATTTCTTGCCCTTTAATCGCTCACAATGCTTAGAAAGTTCGCGTAGCATTATTGGTCTCCATGTCTGTGAACAGTATTCTTTACCCTACCAAACTGCCTGGGTCTCCTTACACGGTTCCACGGGAATTTGAATGCCTACCCTGGTGAAACGCCAGGGGCGTAAAGCTCAAATTCTCGCATCCCGAGAGCCCGTACGTACCACAGAGAGTCCGTACGTACCACAGTCCAAACTTGTGAAATAACCCTTTGAGCATGCCCAATAATTCCATACAAATGTGCACAGATTTGTGACAAAAATAATTTAGTTTTTCAGATAGCTCCGTACGCTACCGTTATTATCAATGGAGTCTACTGGGATGCTCGAACTCCACGACTGATCACCATTCCCGATGCAAAGCACCTGCTCACTCCCGTGCATAGGGTGCGTGACATTGAACTCTGATCTGTGGTATCTCGTTGTTATTCTGACCGTAGCAGCTGCAAAACTTGATTACGACTACTCGCTAGCGATTCGCTGGATTCGCAAAGTCTGGCATTGGCCGAAATGTGACTTAAACATTTCTCACTTCCAAGGAATTTCTCTCTCCTCACTCGCTCGCTCGCAATATCGAAACAGATGACATAGTATCAAGTGGGTCTTATCCCGTAGGGAGGGGGCTTATGATGCGACAGATTATATCGCCTAAGGTAATTCAATTTTTTGCAAGCAAGAAAGCTCCGGGGAGGGTAAAGCGGTAGTGAATTGGGTCACGCACCTCGGGCATTTCTTCCCTTGCGAAATTTTGAATTTCTGTAGACAGCAGCAACTGCCGCACCACCTCCTTGCCCTTCATTGAATGAGAACCGAGATAATCACGATTTAGGAGGAATCGACACGGCAGCGCTAAGGTGTATCATGCGACCACCGACCGGCAAATTACCAGGGGAGGGGGAGGGGGTGCAGAGAAAGAGCATTTTGACAAAATAATTGGTGTGGACAAAGAAAATCCCAATTGTCACAGGATGTCCTCTAAACCTGAGCAACGCTTCAAGCTTCACTCCTACGGCAGTACCTTGGCTTTCTTAATAGGTATACAGCGTTTTTCGACTGGATGTGGAGAAACAATTTTTAGCGAAAGCATGATGATTTTTTGGAAGGGGTAGGAGCTCCGGCCAAGTGGGCAAAAACTCCCATCCTTCTGGTGTCAGGGTGTTCTGTACCGACATGGTCTCCCACCTTCCAGTTCTCCCACTTTTAGGGTGCTAAGTAAGCTGAGAGGGGGAGGGGGGAACCACGAGCAGCGCCGTTTTGAACGCGATGGGACTAAGCCTGGGCCTAGGAAGGATTGGGTAGGCTATCAAAACTATGATTGACTTTTGGCACATTTGAGCCTCCTAGCTCAGGTTTGATCCCATTGCGTTTCACAGACGCTGCACCGCCGCATGGTCCTCCCCCTCCCAACTCACTTAGCAGCCTTTTTAGCGCCTTAGCGCAATAGTTTTATGAAGAAATGTCGAGTATCAGTATTTTTGCTCTTCCATCGCGTCGCTTTCAACCATGCAAAATCACTTTTGCATTGAGACCGAGTCACACTTTGCGAATCAAGCGATTCACTAAGGCCGCGTTCATAGTTCGCGACTCCGGAGATTAGGATAGTACGCGACAATGAAAAAGATATGTATTGACGGGAGATTAGGATAGTAGTAGATTAGGATAGTAGCGCTGACAAGATTAGATACGTATCGATTGAAATTCGCCGGAGAGTCGCTTCAGATAACGAGACTGCCGATACTAGGATTAGTATAGTAGAAGATTATGATAGTGCGCTGACAAGATTTGGTACCCATCGGTCGATTCGATTGAAGACGCCTAATCTACTCCTCCGCGGTTCCAATCGATAGAATTTGTCAGCGCGATAACCTACTTTACTACTATCCTAATATCCTGTCGCGTACTATCTCAATCTCCATAGTCGCGAAGACTATCGACGCCCGGCCAACGGTTGCCTATCAGCGCTAGTCGAGCTGTCGCTGCCCCGAATCGGCTCAATGTTTTGGCACGCGCAACGCGACGCGCCGCCGCTAGGCAAAGCTCGATTTGCAAAAGTTCTTGGACATCGCGCCCTTTAGACTTTGCGCTAGTTCCAAACAGCCTTCATATTTCAACGCGTTCTTCACTATGATTCGAGAACTCCATTCAAATCCTTGATTTCAGTATGACATGCCCGGATGCCCGACGCTACCTCATAGACTTGTCGCTATTTGCGATATTTCCGCCGATCCAGGAGGTTCTATTGAGTTCATGACGGAGTGTACTACAATGACAAGCGCCGTATGATCTATGATGCCGACTTCCATACCGAGCAGTGACAGGTTTGTATACTCGATATCGATGAGTTGGGGTGGGCGTGTCACCGGAAGTGACGTGCACTTGATAGAAACTATGTGGATAAGCTGCTTCCAACATACATCGCTGGCTATCAGCAAAGCATGCTGGCAACAGCTTATCCACGCAACTTCTATCAAGTGCACGTCACTTCCGGCTGACACACCCCAACTTTCGCGATATTCGGCATGCTAACTGTATGACTAACAATTAGCGGTTGTACACATGAGGGTTGAATTTCTCTTGAAGCTGCATTGACTAATTGTTTGCCCTATTACTTTACAATGTGTAACTTTTGCCGAAATGTAACTGCCCAAAGCGTCTTAATAAGGTCGATGTCAGACTTCGCGCAATCGCGGCGATTCGGCTAGAGCGTTGGTCGCCGGGGCAACGCGCAGACAAGGGTACAGCCAACGTTAGTGATTCACTTGCCGCGACGCGACCGCAGACGCTAGCGAATCGCGCGATTCGCAAAGTCTGACATCGGCCTAAGATAGGTGAGACCGTAATGTGCATATTCTCGCGTGGTGTGTAAGCCCAGGCTTGTTCTTCAAATGGGTTACTTTCAACTGCCAACTCTGCTGCTTCTGCTCTTCGCTATAATTAGGAATGTCTGCAAAAAAATTACTAAGAAATTATCGAGCGGTATAGCAACAGTGCCAATAATGACACATTTGGGTGCTAACTTAGTTGGGGGGGGGCCACGCGGCGGCGCGGCAGTCTGCTCGCCTGGCATGTTCGGAAATCCGTGGGCCAGGGGGAGTGTAGGCAGTCTAGGGGGGTGGGGGTGGGGCAGTCACTTGACATGCGTGAAAAGCTGGAATGTTCGAGTTTACACTGTCTCGCTCGAGAGAGCCCAGGTGAGCAGACTGCCGCGCCGCCGCGTGCCCCCCCCCAACTAAGTTAGCACCGACATTTGTATGTATTCGAATGTAGTTTTTTACAGTTTTGACTCACCTTCCGGTTGCCTGGTCTGCAGTATTGACAACATGCCGGCACAGATGCCATTGGAAGCTACATCTCCAGTTTGGTGACCTGCTCTATCCTTACATTTTCGATATGGTGAGTACATCTTTGGGATCTATTCCAGTTAGAGGGGCATAAAGTTCAGAGTGCTCAACAAGTTTGAAACCACGGATAGCATATTCCCTTAGTATGAAGGTTTAGGACTAAGCCTCAGAAGGGAGGGAAAACCCCGGGTTCGTGAGCAATCTTCGCTTTCTCGGGGGAGGAATTTTCGGCGCAATGTGGCTCGGGGGGGGCAAGCCGCCGAGCGCGGCGTTGAGCCAGGGGGAATGTAGCCAATTCAGGGGGTTGGGGGTGAGGGCAGTCACTTAGCATGCGTGAGAAGCTGGAATGTTCCGTGAGAAGCTGGAATGTTCGAGTTACACTACATCGCTGAGCCGCGCGCGGCGACTGCCCCCCCCCCCCCCCCCGAGCCACATTGCGCCGAAATTTCCTCCCCCTTCCTAGGCTTTATCACGGCGAAAGTCGGGTTCGGAGGGGCCACGCGATGGTGCGACACTTTGATCGTCTGCTCCTCCAAGGCTTAGTCCACAGGGACAGGGCGCAATGCTGCTCGGGGGAAGAGGGGGGACCAGTCACCGCGCGCGGCTTAGCGAAGTAGAGTAAACTCGAATATTCCAGCTTCTCACGCATGTTAAGTGACTTTCACCGACCAGAGTCAACCCTGCGTTGCGCAGTTCGCAACGGCACGTTGAGAGATCCTCAACGCACGCTGTATGGGCGGAGACGCAGACGGCTCGAGCATGCGAGTGTGAATGTTCGCGCGAGAGAACGTGTCTAATCGGGCGAAACTGCGCAACGTGGCCGTTGAAAACTGCGCAACGCAGGGTTGACTCTGCCCCCACCCCCTGAATGGCTACATTCCCCCTGGCACACGAATTTCCTGTTGCCGCACGCCCCCCCCCCCCCCAGGCTTATTCCACCAGGGACAGTTACTCTTTCGCCATTATGTGGCAGTTTCAAAATACGCGCCATCGGTGACTAAGCCTTGGTAGAGCAGACGAAAACAGCGCCGCGCCATCGCGTGCCCCCCCCCCCCCCTCCCGAACCCGAGTTCCGCCCTGATCACTAGGTAAATATTACTTTTCGTTGACGTTTATGTTACAAAGCACAAGAACACATACATTATACCAAAACCAGAAGAAACAACGTAGGAAAAGGCTAATGGGACTCGTAACTTAAAGGACCCCTTGAACCAAACTGCCACTCTGTGTACCGCAATGCCCCTAACTGGACTAGACCCCATCTTTGTATTAAAAATTACAAACTGAGGTTCCTTGGTTCATCATTTCAGCAATCTTATACTTAGGTTGGGCGCTATCTTACAATTGGATAGAGGGGGAGTGGCGCCGCTGCGCGCGGCACGTTAAGCGAAACAGTGTGAACTCACAATTCCAACTTTTCGCGCACGTCAAGTGACTCATCCCACCTCACCTCCTGGATTTCATACATTCCCTCTGATTCAGAGATCCATCGTTTCTTGCTAAAGGGCGTGAACATGTTAAGCGTCGCAGCGGCAACTGCTCCCCCTTCTCCGTAACTAAGCTAGCACCCACCATTCCGGTTGGGAAGGGACGGCGCGAGGCTTCGGGGTGCGACAGTTCATTTGGCGCCCCCAGTAGTCCCAATTTTTGCACGGACTGGAGGCTCTGTAGCTTGTCCTCCCGCGAGAATCTGGATTGGGCGGCAGGAACCTGAGTGTTGTTCGCTAGGACTCAAAAGCTACTTTTCCGCTTTTCGCAACGCGAATTTTTTTCCATGCAGAGACCCTAGGTCCATCCATGGTCAGGGGTGGAGCTGGGGTCCCTGCGGCGAAAAGGTTTCGCGCTGCGAAAAGCAAAAACTTCCTTCCTGACCAAGCGAACCACACCCCAGGACAGGGTCAACCCTATCGTTGTTACTCTTCGGAAATTTTTTACGACCCCCCCTTTCATGGGTGGTTTGATACGACCCCCCTTTGTATGTACACTTGTGTAGAGACAGTGTTTACCATCAATATTTATTTCTACGTAAGTCATTAAAGATGAAACTTTAGCAAAATCCACGACAGAAATTCATCGCTGCTTGCAAACACGAAAAAATGAGATGCATTCAAAGATATCCGTGTACTCCAAAGGGTTACCAAACTAGGAGATGAAATAAAGTGACCATATGACAATTACCTGATAAAAACTTATAAGAAGTCAGAAAAAATTATCGCTCCAATTGAAATACTGAAATCCTTCACGTTCTTCAATTGCAACACAATTTTTACACCCCTCTTTCTAAGGCTATAACTTCCTTCATATTCGAGCTTGCGCCGAAGTGATTTGATTTGGAAAATTCAAATTATTCTCTCTCCAACCATGGGTAAAAATTCTTCGAAAGTTAATTTTAGTAAAATTTAGTACGTTGTTACTTTTTTCTGTGCAAAGCGACTTTTTGACCTTCAAACGATCATAACTTCCTTCAAAGTCATTCATTTGGGAAGCTGAACACGTATAATAAACTACAGGATTCAAGCTTTCTAACGAGCACCCAAGCGTTCCTGAAAGATCAGTAGTTCAAAAATTAGTCCCGTTGTTACTTTTTTGGGGGTTTGCGTTACTATTTTTTTGGAACCGCGACTTTTTGACCTTCAAACGATCATAACTTCCTTCAAAGTCATTCATTTGGGAAGCTGAACACGGTGTAATAAACCACAGGTTTCAAGCTTTCTAACGAGCACCCAAGCGTTTCTGAAAGATCAGCAGTTCAAAAATTAGCCCGTTGTTACTTTTTATTTTGAGGGTATTCTTCAAGCCATTTTCTCGAAAACGCGAGTTTTCTTAGGTTTCACTGCCCGTAACTTCTTGGAAGACCAATTTTTTGTTTAAGGATGTGCTAGAAAGCTCCGAGCATGCGCTTGCACTACATCCCTTGCCTTGGTGCGCGCCACGCCTCGGGCGCCCTTCTAATTCGCTGATTCATTTGAAAGCTCATTTAGAGGGAATCGTGGTTTATAGATGCTGTATCAGTCATCTTACGAAAACGTAACGTGCTGGCTATTATCCGATATTACCAAGAATCCCACTGTCGGCCACCGAGAGGGTACGACCCCCCTCCCTCCAAGCTCAACTGAGTACGACCCCCCCGTTGTTACTCGTAACAACGTAGGGTTGACCCTGCCCAGGAACCATTAGGCACTTTGATGTCCCTTTGTGTTTGGTGGAAGGGCGCCCACTTTTTGCTGCTCAGTGCCCCATTCATGTGTTGTTGTTTCCTCTTTCGTAAAAGTGTGTTGAGCTGGAAAACCACATTTAAAACGAACAAATCGATCCTTTCCTTTGTAGCCATGTTCTTATTGCAGTGTGCTTTATAAATATCGCTATAGCAGGTTTATTCCGTTTCCGATTGAAACAATCAGCCAAAAGTGGGCACTCTAGATAGCACTATCATGTCATACAATCAGAAACAATCAAAAATTGTGCTGTGATTTTTGCTCTTCGATGAACAAAGCGCATTCCTTAGTTTTCCAATTGAGATGCTTGACTCTGTTCAGGGGTGACGTTCTTTTTCTTATCGCCTTTATAACTGGCTGTTCCTTTGTTGCACATTTGCCGATCACTTTATTGCCTTCAACAGCTTGATAAGATATAATATTTTTAGGGCTAGTAAGCATTAAAAAACAACATTTCAAAAATGATGTTTATGTGGAAAATGACTCGGGTGGAAACAGCTCAGATCCAAGTTCAAAAGCATGCCTGAATATAATGCTCCGATATATTTTCCAGCTGAACTGTGCTACCGACCAACCGTTTGACCGTTTGAGTTGCCGCGAAGAGGTGAAAGGTGCGATAATTACGACCGACGGCAAGCTTGCTCCCAACTATGAGTACATTGCAGATCTTCGCCAAGCGAAGAACATGTAAGTTCATATTTGTGCTGGTTATAACAGTTTTTCTTCTTGAATTCAGTTGAGAGCTAAAATCTGGAATAAATAAGGTCACTTCATTAATAGAATTCTTGAGCGTTCAAAGGGTAATTCTTCAGCGAGAACGAAGCCTAGATAGGCCTCCAGTTCTATAATCACCTCGCCAGTAATTTGGTTTTGGTTTTCGTCATTTACCGCCACAAGTTCTAGTAAATCTCAATGAATAGTGTACTCAATGAGGTTCATGATGGAGCTATTTATAAATTCTGAGTTGCCTGCAAGCGTACCAGTGCATTTTAGGCGCTACTTTTTCGCAACACTCTTTGCAGATGGCGATGTATCGAATTCATAGTGTGGCAGAACTCGTTCACAGGGGTTCATGGTTTTGTGTGCAAAGAGCTAATTTCTTTGGGATCGCCCAGGCTTTTGCCTCAAGAAGCACGCTCCACCACTTAATCGTGCGACAGATATGCTAATACCACTCAGCATTCTTTTGGCATAGTTTATTAGCTGTTCCAACACTACGGCTAAGAATTACCGATTCACTATGAAATATAATTTCGTGTTTCATGCGTCTGTCTGAAGCACAAAAGTATAACAAAACACAAAGTATAAAAAAAAAACTCATCAAGCAATCAAAAATCGGAACCGCGAACTGACCTATTTACATTCCTGTGATTATTCTCAGTTATCCCGGTCTCGCTTTATTATTAACTTGACTGTGATATTAATGTGAACGAATGATAGAGAAGCAAAAAAACTTGTATTATAGTCGGGAAAGAGGAATGAAAGAAAACTGAAACGCATGAGGTTCGATTTGCATGTTCTTTAGCGGCTAACTCATGTCCTCTTTTGATCTGAGCTAGTTCCTTAGTTTTTTCGAATCTATAATAGATGGTATGCGCATGATACAAAACCACTTGTTGCTACAGTTCATTAAAAGAGCATCAAGCACTTTTCATTTTGAATGTGAGATTATACTACAGTTGTGCTCCTGAACAGCTTCATGTGAGTTTTCGAGATCATTAAGACATCTCGAGTGAGTTTTGAGATCGATACTGGGTCCAGCAAACGCATCCGGGGTTACTCACGATCAGAGATGAGTGGAATTTTGTGCTTTCTCAGTACATTCAAGGCTGCTTTCAAGTTTTAAGCGCATAAGTGCAAGCAGATTATGTAGACCTTTGGCTTGAGTTTCCATGATTTTTGCACGACCTACAGATTTTGAACAGTTTAGATTGGTTAACTATCGTAATTTGAGTAGTAGATGTGAGAACCAGGTTATGCCTTTTTTTCAGTGATATGCGTCGTTAAGTTAAATCACTTTATGCATGAATTTCTTGGTTCAAACGCACCTGTTTCTAGTGCATCTTCACATAAATCGCGTGTTATGGGAAGCGATGAGAAAAAGGTGCTTCTTCTCGGTGCTGGAATGGTCAGCGGTCCTTTTGCTGATTTCTATTCTAAGCAGCCGAAGGTTGGTTTTGGATTTTCTTTCCAGACTGGGTGGATTTCGGATAACAGTTGTTTACAGGTTCATGTAACAGTGGCCACTGAATCACGTGAAGACGGTCATCGGCTGATGAAGGGTGATAACATAACGTCACTTGTTGTTGACGTCAACAGAGAGCATGATGTGTTGGATCAACTTGTGCGGTAAGTTGTCACCTTGAAGGGATCAGGTTTCCGAAAAGATCAGTAATTTTCCCATTGCAGTGAGCATGACCAAGTCGTCTCTTTACTGCCATATGTTTTCCATCCAATGGTGGCCAAACTGTGCATTAAAAATAAGACAAACATGGTTACCAGCAGTTACGTTACGCCAGAACTTCAAGCACTAGATCAAGCGTGAGTTCTTCCTCATTCGAAAATCTGAACCTGGAAAGTAGTTCAACATGTATGGCTTTCTATCAATAATTGCATTTTTTATAACTTTCGAGCAACTTTCTGAAAATACTCGGAACTTTTTCGATAATTACTGTGTTACTATTTCATTCATAGACTTTGTTCTAGTCAGCAATCGATTCTGAGCCATTTACTGAATGCTCTGTTCGGCGCAATGTGCCTCGGAGGGGGCCAGTCGCCGCGCGCGGCTCAGCGATGTAGTGTAACTCGAACATTCCAGCTTCTCACGGAACATTCCAGCTTCTCACGCATGCTAAGTGACTGCCCTCACCCCCACCCCCCTGAATTGGCTACATTCCCCCTGGCTCACGAATTTCCTGTTGCCGCAACGCCGCGCGCGGCGACTGGCCCCCTCCGAGGCACATTGCGCCCTCTGTTCAAGTGAATATTATATTCTAGAGCGAAAGATGCCGGTGTGACAATCATGAACGAATCTGGCTTGGATCCTGGAATTGATCATATGCTTGCTATGGAGTGTTTCGATGAAATTAGAGAGCATGGAGGAAAAGTTGGTTAGGTTCTGTCATCGCTGATTGTATTCAATTTTATTGGAACTTCTAGATAACTTCTTTCGTTTCCTTCTGCGGCGGTTTGCCTGCACCAGAATCTTCCGATAATCCTCTTCGTTACAAATTCAGTTGGAGTCCGAAAGGTGTTCTGACGGCCCTTCTAAACCCCGCTAAATATCTTCAAAACGGAAAGGTAATCAAGTTGTGAGCTTACTGTTAGATTGGCTTCAGTTGTGACGTCATTGTAGGTCGTGGAGATTCCCAGCGGAAAAGTCATAGATCATCTATATCCAATCGACTTCATGCCTGGGTTTAATTTAATTGGGTACGGTAATCGAGACTCCACGAAATATGCTGATATATATGGGCTCGGCCCAGAATGCAGAACGCTCATCCGAGGAACTCTCCGTTATAAGGTACTGTGACAGAAATGGCTGTTTAAACACTGTGTTAGGCTGTGTTGGAAGAAGCTCTTTACGTACAACTTTCAGGGTTTCGTAGAGACAGTGAAGGCTTTAGACTCGATTGGCTTGCTCAATACTGAGCCACAGGATATTTTCAATCCAGTGATGGGTCCTGATTTGACATGGGTCAGTTCATCTTTCTTGAAAATTTCCTTTTCCCTCTTAATGCAGTTGCAGCGGAAATTCAGGAATCCACAGTTGGAAGTTTTAAACGTCACTTTTGCAGAAACAACTTATGGCATCTCTCCTCAACCAGAAAATTGATATTTTCCCTGACTCTTTGCGTAATATAGCTGCTGAACGTGTTGGAGGTTCCAACACGATTGGCATGAAAGCTCTACAGGAACTGGATTTATTCAGCGATATAGTCGCTGATAGACATGGCAACGCACTCGACACTCTGGCGCCATATCTTGCTAAGGTGCGATTTTGAAGGTTGAATCTCAAACATATCTGTGATTAACGCATTTAGATCCTCTCATTCCAAAAGGGCGAACGTGATCTCGTTATTCTCAATCATGACATAGGAGTTCGACTTCAGAGTATGTTTTTACACCCTAGAGTTCAGATTGTTGCGAGGTCGTAAGCTTTCAAGCAAAGGGGTGCGTTGTAGGAGATGAGGCGAACTCGATGTATATCTAATATAATCTAATTGCAATATAAAATAAAGTGGCAAAGAAGAGCTGTCCAAAGTCAGCTGAGGATATAGTGCATCAAGTAAAGTCTGCCGCGCAAACTTTTTCATTTGTGAGAGGAGAAGCGCTCACTTCATTAACGTTGGCACTGACAGTGAGAATTCATTTATTTTAACACGTTGACGACCGCGTAGGTATGATGTCATACCACACTTTCGCATGAGCAGACTAGTTTTCCTTAATTTATTTGGCGTTTTTTCCTGTTCCACAACGGTCCATGTACATTATTGGATCCGAAAAACAATTTTTTCATTACTGATAATGAAAACGCTGAAGGATTGATGCCTATTGATGAGAGAATACGAAAAATGTTGAAGCAGTACGCGCACAACGGCGGTCGTCAACGTGTAATGAGCTATAGTTCAACTTTGAGCGTTGATCGTAGTGGCAATACCAAAGCGTTTCTAAGTCGCGATTCTGCATAGACGCATTATTTTATTCAAAGTCTATCCTAATGGTTTCCAAGAGGCCGTCTTTTTCGCGGCTCATTTTAATTTGTTTCAATTTATCGGTTCCACTAAACCAGAAATGGCTGAAAAGTGCTGTTGAAGGTGAAATTAGCACTTTTTCGTTATTTAGAACTATTTTTCATGTTTTCGTCAGTAGGTTTTTTTTATTGAGTCACCAGAAATTACGTAAAAATACACTAGAAATAACGTAAAAATACTAATCAAATGTTAGAATTTTAGTTTGTTTTTTGATTGTCACTGCTTTTTCGCCTGCAGTTCGCCATGCGAAAGTTATCACAAGAAATCAGGTTACCTGCAAAACATTCCTCCTATCAGGGGCGAACCCGCACTTTCCGGAGCAGTTTTTGCCGAACTAATTAAGCCGGTGACACTAATAGGGTACCGCTTCGCGTTAACTGGCTTACAGTGATATGTTCACTAAAGCTTTTCATGGCTCACACGTAGTTGTGATCAGTCACTTAGCCGCTGCCAGCGGTGAAGCGTTAAACTGAAACTCGAGCAGATATTAGAATTTATCCATGAATGTTTTGTGTGGAACAACTTTCTTGTGATAGCTATTCAAGTGGCTTTATTTAAAAACTTGTTCTAGCGTTCCCAGAAGGTGATTTGAAGCTCTGAACATGTTCCGTGAGCATTAGTAGTGATAGAGTAGTCGAGGGTGCAAAAGGAATTGCAGAAATAAGCTGTTTTTTATTGTACGAATATCAAACGCGCCTTATGAATACAGCAACTACACGGCGCAATGCTGGTTACCAGTTTTGCCATTTGTGGTTTGAACGTTTGATGTTGACATGCGCTCGTACAGCCTGCTGCTCTGATTCCTAATGTACCTCGTTAGATGTGTGCTTATTTTGCTTACCCCTTGCAGTTCTAGTCGCATGCGTATTAGTTTCATCTGGTAGATAGTCAGCCGAATTCAATCCGAGCTTTTGATTGAGTGATTGCTCGGTTGCTTGAAATCGCTGCGCGCCAAGCCAACTTGCGGTTGGTGTATAGGGTGAAACTCCAGTTCGGGGGGGGGGGCACTCCATTTTTTCTCCAATACTCAAGATAAGGATTAGAGGGCTCACGACACGTAATCGACTCATTTAAAGTAGACTTCTGATAAATATTGGTGTAATGGGTGAGAAACCCTGAAACGTTTTCACATTTCCGCCTGCCATGACCCAAGGGAACGGTCCTGGACCAGGAGAAAGGACACCTCCGCAAAGGGCTAAGGGTGCAGGAGCTCCAGGGTGGATCACCTGTGCAGAAAAGTGGATGGGATGTGGGCAGGTAGTGTGGAATGTAGGACATCCACCGGTCCTTATCAAAAGTACGCTCGAAATGAGTCGTTCACTTATTATCTTATCCGTAGTGTTCGATAGCCCAAAGAACTGCTCTCTAGTACTACGGATAAGATAGCAATGGCCCCCGAACTGGAGTTTCACCGTGTATAGTACGTGAGCATCGCAATAGGCTCGGGTAGAATGCGACTGTATGTCAGTTTCTCTAATCACTATTTGCTGGGTTCAGTACTGCCGTCCTTGCAGACGAAAACCCGTTAGTTTCACAACGGCGACGCGATCAGCCATCCGTTATCATAACGCAGTACTGATTTCAGCCATCAATAAAGTTGAATTGTTTGTCATTGCTGAGTTAAATATATTCAATCTAGGTGGAAACTTGGAGCGACACAGAGTTAGTATGGTAGCCTACGGAGATCCGAATGGCTTCTCAGCAATGGCCCGAACCGTTGGATATACATGCGCTATCGTATCCAACATGGTATTACAGGGTAAGCCGTTATGCATTTTTTTGTCTTTTTATTAAAAACAGAAACCCCAGAGGAGGTTGTGTCGAAGAATATATTCTGTGGTGGTATAGAGTAGCCCACGAGTATCGCAGAACGTGGTTTCGCAGCACGAAATCGCGCGACATGGCGCTAAAGCCTTACCAAGTGATCTGATGGTGACTTATGTGAGCTTACGGACGAGATACCTCGTGCACACCACATAACTCGAACGTGGAATACGGCGTAGGGCAACATGACTGCTGTTACCCCACCAATTTGATCTGGGGATGTAGCTTCAAAAGGTTCTTGGCAGGTGATCAAATAAGCCTTGCCTGCACTTGTTCTCCATAAGGAACTTATTTCTCAAGGTTCATCTGAAAGCACACCGTACGATAACAGTGTGCGTGGACTTCAAATATGAAATAGGGGATGCTGTTTGACCTTACAATGAATGAAGAAACGACAAATCTCTGAAAAAGTTTTGAATGAGGCCCCCCACTCTGAATCATAAACAACCTTACAGTGAAGAAGTGCGTTTCATGGCGAGAGTCTGACAACCGCTAGTTAGAATTAAATATCTAATCTGACTTTTATTGTGTGAGGCATCTCACAGTCAAGGTATGAAGATCGGTATCGCATTCACTATTCGGTGGCGATGGAGTCAACACTCGTGGGCACCGTTACCTCGCCGCACTGCACATTCGTTGCAAAACTTTATTTGGGTTTCCGAAGTTACGAGAAATCCAGCACAAAAATGGCTAATGCCATTCGATTCGGCGTGTAAAGAAACCCACAATAGAGAATCTTCAAACAGTTTGTCAAATTCCAGAAATCTAGGGTCAAAAAATGAAAAAACGGCCGTTGCAAAATATACGACATAGCAGAAATTTTGACAATTTTTCTAAACAACAGGAGATCTGACCAAGTTATTAGGAATGTTCCAGGAGAGATTCAACGGCCTGGAATGTTACGGCCGGTAAGCAAAGAAATCTACCGTCCAGCCCTGATGCGACTGGCTGACTACGGTATCAAAGCAACAACAACAGTCACTCCGCTGTAATGCCTTTGCAGTGCGATCTCGCAGCGCTTTAGAGATTTTAGAAAGTATCTAGACCATTACGGAGTTATTCACTTGTTTTCTCAAATTTTGAATGGTTCATGCTTGCCTTTCATTTGTACTGTGCCCTTCTGATCAACCTCTCCTAACGTGGAATCATATCATTGTTAACGTCTATGCTTGACGTAAGCATTGCTCCTTATGGGTGATTGTGAATTTTTTTAGGTCTCATTAATTAGTGGTAGATTTTTTTGACTTGCGGGAACGTTTTGTATTTATGCGGATTTTTCACATCATTGGCGTTATGTTCGTCATGCTGTAGAGGAAATCGCGAGTTGATTTCTGGACGTTTTACAAGAGTCTGTATTAAAGAGTTATATGCTTTATGTTCATCGATGAAAGTCTGTGTGATGCTCTATGCCTCACCGTCCAGTGCACTTCCTCGCAGCTTACAACGCAGTGTTTGAGGAAGTTGGGTGAGTTCATCGATTTTCTTCTCACCATTGCGATCAGCTGGTGGTATTCGTCTCGTCACAAATCTCGGCTAATAGCTTGGCCATTGTTTGTTTTGATATTTGGGATTTCTTCAGTGATGATTATTTTCTTTCGCAGCGTTTTTTTGAGGGGAAATTCTTGACTTTTTGCTCATTGCAACTTCTAGTCTAGTTCTACGAGGGAGAACTGTCCAATAGATAGGAAAACCTGCAAATTTTTTGAGGGTTTTGTCTATAGTCACTGTAGACGCCACACTGCAGGTTACTGACAGCTGTAGGTGTCCCAGTTGTGTCGGTCGCTGTATGAACCGGAGGTCTTCGGGACATAAAGCACTTTTTCTAAAAGGATTTTGTGCATGTTGTAGGGCTCATGCGAGGAACACAGAACCATGATCCATTTTTCCTGAACGCCTCCAGGAATGTCAAAACAGTGGTGAAGAAATGGTCCAGAGTTCGATCCCCGGTGATGACTAATTTTTGCAATATTGCCCAGATTGCCGCCAAATGGCGCCATCGTCGAGAATAGATGTCATTGTCGTGTTTTGCGGCAATTTGGAGGCGCCAACATAAATTGCAAAAATTTGTCATCACGGAGGATCGAACTTTGGACCATTTCTTCCCCGCTGTTTTGACATTCCTGGGGGCGTTCAGGAAAAATGGACCATGGTTCTGTGTTCCTCACATGAGCCTCTACAACATTCAGAAAACCATTTAAAAAAACGCTCCATGTCCTGAAAAACCCATCTTGTCAGTGGCCCTATGCAAATAAGGGGACTGGTTTTCGTTAATGGACCCCTTTTAGTACATTTGCTAAATCAATGCGTGAAGTCAGATCCGTTTGGTTTGTCTCTTCATGGGGAGAAAACGCCATTATCATTCGGGAGGTTTGTAGATGGAATCACGTGTTATCTGACATTACCGAGCATGCTTATTCATTTCATAATTATACAGGTCTCTTGAAAATATCCTTCTTGACATTTCACTTTAAAATGCTTTGTTTTGTCCTAATTTCAAGAAATACCAATACTTTGCATATTATGGTCAGAGCGCGCTTATCACTACATATCTAGTGGTGAGATCTGTTTGGCTATCAACAGATTGATGACATTGAGACGCGTTGCGCGTCTCACCCTTGTCATCCCTTTTTCTAGCGTATGCGGGATTCTTCCCAATTTGCTTGTCTCTATTCTATGGATTACAACATAACATAACTGTAAACGACATGGGTCACGGTATGATCAAATATGCTCCAGTTTAGCAGAAGTTTTTTAAGCACAGCGGAATTGGCAGCTCGGTTCATCCTCGTTCCTATTCTCATGAACATGTCAGTGAGAAAAGGTAGTGAAAGTAAATACAAACTAAAGGGATAGAAAAATATATGTTTCACTTGGCACATCCACATCGAAAATAGCTTTTGGCATCCACTACAGAGAAAATGACTAAATTCCTTTTTCATTACCATTACATGTTCTTTTGATCGGAACTTCGTCACTATATACTCTATTACCTTCTACGCATTGACTGTTACTGAGATGTTTTTGTACCACTGGTGCTTTAAAAAGTTATCAATAAAAATTCACGGATCCGAGGTGCGGCGGTCGCACTCGCAAAATCGGCCCGGTCCCACACGGCCAAAAAAGCCAAAACGCGCGCTGTCGTCAATGTGTTAAGCATTTTCTTCCTCCTCTTTCAAAGTTTTGTATACAGCATGCTGACGCGGCACCTCTGCGTGGTTGTTTCCAGCCCATATTAGGACGGAAATGAGGGGAAGCAGATAGCGATAGTAAGGATGTATTTGGCTCATATTCACAACAAATAAGCTTGTACGGAATACGCGATATGGACGGTCTACGCGGATTTGTGTTACGCGATACGCGAGTTGTGCGAGTCTGAGTCTCGAGCGAGTCTGGTTTCACCCACAAAACAAATAAGCTGTGAAGTTGTGGTTTAATACGTTGAAAACAGCGCGGGTTTTGTGATTTTTCGCTGGGGACCAAAACGATCCTGCAGGCGCCGTCGCCTCATGTGGAATCCGTGAATTTTGAGCTATAAGTCGCAAACTTGACACGGCAAAATGTTCTAATGATATTCGATGTGTTGAACTTATTGGAAGGAACAGTTGAAGAAGCTCGACCGAAATGACGTTTTATGGCAATGAAAGGACATTTCAGATTGCGTTCGCTGTAGAGTACCTCAAAATCATACTCCATATCTCGGAGTCAGATTAGGCGCGTCTATGGGTTTGACGTGTCAGCCGCCGCACTTGACTCCAGCATGCACTGCTGATACCCAGTGCAGTGTGTTGTAAACAGTTTATCCACACAACTTCTATCAAGTGCGGCTACGGTCACCTCAATTCACAGACACGCCTAATCTGACTTCGAGATATGGGCTGTACTTTTGGTGCGGTTGCTCCACTAGAAAACATATCTTGCTATACGAGTGACTCGTACTTACTTCTACTATTTTTTAAATCCATGTAAGCGAGGAAACGAGGGATGAACCGAACTGAAGAATTTGTAGGAGTTTGAGAACCTTGTTAAAGTAAAGTTTAGTACGGTCTGTAGAATTAAAGCAGAAAATTAAAAAAGCGATAGTGCATGCGCGAAAAAATAAACTCACGCTGCATCAAGGTGAAAAACTTGTTGAAGAGGTGGGCTGAGCCTGTAACTATAAGATGGTGAGAGTGATTATCACATATCAGACCTCAACAACGATCAGCTGCAAGTTTTGATTAGTGCAAATTTGCATAGCAAAGTCTCCTTCTATACTGAACGTATTTAATGTTGCGAAGTATAAAGGAAGATTTGGGGAGTTTAAAAAATTGATACATAAGTGTGTGCCGCGACAAACCTCCTTTGAAGAGTCGCCCTGCCCTTCTCTACCATTTTTTTATAATTATAACAATTTTTTAATTTTATTTTTTTTTTTTTTTTTTTTTTTTTTAATTTTTTTCCACAAAACTTCGCAGAACTGATGAAGCCGCACCGACGGAAGGTTATGATGAATTCGTGTAGCTTGTGACACTTAAGCTCCCGTCAATTCTGATGGTTCTGTTAGAGTGGGGGAGCATAATTCCAGTTCGGGGGAGGCAATCCCTGTTATCTTATCCGTAGCGCTAGAGAGCACTCCTTCGGAATTCAACTCCATGGATAAAATTAGGTAAAAGATTCATTTCGAGTGCACCTTTGATAAGCCCGTCCCCCATCATGCAAATTTGCTCACGTCAAGGGCGATTTATGCCATGTTTAGGTTTAGGTTTAGGTTTAGGTTTATTACGTCTGCATAAGGCACACGTTAAAAAAACACAACATCAATAAAACAATCAATATGAACATTCACAACTAAATTGGATTAGTAAATAGAACATAGAATAAGTCATCTCGAAATCAGTCTCACAAAATGCTAGTATTTTTAGTACCTTAACAGAGTGTTGGCGACGCGATGCTTGAATTGTGCTAACGACAAGTTAGCTGGCATATTCTTGACTAACTTCAAGTACCGACTACCCGCTCTGAAAGTAAAGTTCCTTGCGCAGAGGTTAGTTCGGGGTCGTGTGAGCGAAATCTTTTTGAGTCCTCCCCTCGTTCTTGAGGATGTCATTTTAAAGACATTGGGAATTCCAAAACCAGACAAGCCTCGCGTCATCTTATGGACTAAGCAGATGTCAAAAACTTCGCGCCTCGACTGTAGCGATGGCAACCCTAGATACCTGTTCCTTATTGCTGCATTTTGGAATTTTAGAGTACAGAAACCCTCCAATTCGGATAAGTAATTTACGAGTAAAGTTATTCTGCACTTTCTCAAGTGCGTATATGTATTTCTTTTTGTAGGATTGAAAACCGTAGTGCTTGATTCTACGAGAGGTCTTACATAGGACTTGTAGGCACGTATAAGAGCTCGCTTACTAGTAACTGACAACGCCTTGAAAATTTGAAATGTACGTAACTGGGCCATTTTGGTCCTCTTCAGGATGTGTTCTGAAAAATCAAGCTTGTTGCTATAGTAGAAGCCAAGGTCTCTAACAGATTCAACTGCAGAAAGTGGGACCCCATCAACCGTGTATGAGTGCAAAATTGATGGAGTTTCAGATCTCAAATTCATGTAAACCGTTTTTTGTGGAGCTATAGGTAGTTGCCATTCTTTGGACCAATTCACTGTCAAGTCAATAGCTTCTTGCAGTTTCCGAGAGTCATTCAAGTTTGAGATTGATTTATAAATTTTCATGTCGTCTGCGTAAAACTTAGCTGTAACACCAATATCTGAGAGCATTTCCGGAAGCTCAGCTGTAAAAATATTAAAAAGAACTGGCGATAACACTCCACCCTGGGGCACGCCGCTGGTTATTTGCCTAACATCGGAAAGTGATTGATCTATTTTAACCTGGAAGGTTCTGCCATTTAAATAAGTGGAGATCCATTTTATGAGAACAGGATGGAATTTGAGAGCTTCCAGCTTATGAATAAGTTTCTTGTGTGAGACTCTATCGAACGCTTTCGCGAAATCAAA